GTTGCGACTACCACTTCCTCTTCTGCTGTTGCTGCGGCTGCTGTTTTCACTGCCATTTACTGAACCCTCAGGCACGGCAACCACAGCGGCAGCAGGAACAACAGCCAAATCCTTTGAAGTTTCAGTGACCTCAGATATCACCACAGGAATAGCAGAACCCGGAGAACACTGCAGGGGGAGGATTCTTACGCTGCCCAAGTTTCGAAACTGTTCCTTCTTTCAAAAATATTGGATGTTGTTAAGGGACGCTGGACCCGGTTTGCCACAGGTGCTGCTCCCCACCAATTGATCGGAGCCACCTGAAGGAATAGCTAGGGGTACATGCTCTTATCATTACCCCTAGCTGGACCTTCAGGATGCTCAAAAAAAAAAAAAAAAAAAAAAAGTGCCCGGAGAAGTTGGGAGAACACTTAGCTTTCTTTTTGCCAAGTGTTCCCCTCCCCCCCCCCCCTTCTCCAGCATTCTTCTTACCTCTCGTGATTTTCGTACCAGCGATTGTTCTGGCTCTTGGCCATGTGTATCAGCAGCATCTGACTGAGTCCTCCATATCCATATTTGTCTCAGATGCTGCTAACTGTTTGACAACTTGCCTTCCAGGGAGAACAGCCGCTGCCTGTGCCAGCAGTGCATCAGCGGAGGGCGGGACTGGTTCCCCCGTGGCTACAAATGGAACGTAGAGTTCCGGTTGCCTGCCCGGAAGAGCCACTCCCGATCCACTCGGTTGATGTGTCGCCCTTGCAAGTGGGAAGCCTTATCTTTTTTTTCGCTGTATCAGGATTCAGGACCTGTTGCAGCAACCAGGGCCGCTGGAACCTTTGGACCTAAAACATTGGGATACACCAGCCAGTGCTTGAGGCTTAGGAGGGGGTGGGAGTGGAGGAGGGGGCCTAATTACTGTCTCTGGGGGAGCCCAATGATCCGGAGGTCTTGTTTCCCAGTTGGGTTCCCCCTGACGTTCTCACGTCCAGCCTCTTCTGGCTTCTCCTTTGCTGTCGCATCACTCCCCCTAGTAGAGAGGCGGTGTCTTTTTCACAAAAAAAAAAAACAGAAGTCAAGGCTTCGACTCAATTATGAGCATGCTTGCACCATCCATACAGTTGAGATTGGGCTCATGATGATTCAAATGAAAAATGGAAAAAAGAAAGTGGTTGGGATCAGACTAGTCACGCTGACAGTCGGCGCCCCTGGATTGGTCGGGGG